GAGAGAGAGAGAGAGAGAGAGAGAGAGAGAGAGAGAGAGAGAGAGAGAGAGAGAGAGAGAGAGAGAGAGAGAAAAAAAAAATTGTCGCTGCCCTCGGCACGACGTTGAGTTTACGACATTCGGATTTTGCGATACTCGGATTTCGCGAGATTTCGATTTGAGGAGAATAAAAGAAGAAGAGATGGCTTCTGCTGGTAGGTTCCTCTTCCCTCTTCTTTAACTCAGGTTGTCCTTCTTCTTCTTTTTGTTCTTCTTCTTCTTTTTGTTGTTGTTCTTCTTCTTCGTCGTCTACTTTTTTTGCTTCGTCTTGGTGAATTTTTTGTTTTTTTTTCCTTCTTCTTCTTCGTCTTCTTCTCCGTTTTCTTCATCGTCTTCTTCGTTGTCTTCATCTTCTTCTTCGTCTTCTTCTTCGTCTTCTTCTTCGTCTTCTTCTTCGTCTTCTTCTTTGTGTTTGTTTTCTTCTTCCTTTACTTTTTCTTCTTGGTCGGGAGGGATTGTTGGGCGCCATGCGCCATAGTTATGTTGATTGATCTGATAGAGGAGGGAGAGAAACGGACCTCCTGCGGCCTTACCTCCTCGCGAAATGTAACCATAGTGAATGCAAACTTTATTTATTTATTGATTGATTGATTGATTGCTTGCTTGCTTGCTTGCTTGCTTGATTGATTGATTCCCGAGCCGGCCGCAATGCTGACTCGACCGCAATCACGAGGGGACCCGACTAACTGCAATGCCAATCCGACCCGACCCGATGGGACAGATTGATGCTCATGCCGACGAGAGCAATCAATCAATGAATCAATCAACCAATCAATCAATCAATCAGTCAAGGCAAGACCGCCACGTGGCAAGTTCCGCCTCCCCTGCACTTCTTCTTCCGCTTCCGCTTCAGCCTCCGCTTCAGCTTCTGCTTCCGCCTCGGCTTCCGCTTCCAACCACGTGGCAAGTTCGCCACGAGGCAAGCTCGCCACCTCCCCCTCCCACGTGACAAGATCGGCACGTGGCAAGTTGGCCACCTCCCCCTCCCGCTTCCACTTCTCCCCACTTCCGGTTCTCCCCACTTCTCCCCGCTTTTCCCCGCTTCTCCCCGCTTCTCCCTGCTTCTCCCCGCTTCCGCTTCGGGATCCGTTGCTCTCCGCTTCGGGCTCCGCTGCTCTCCGCTTTGGGCTCCGCTTCTCGCCGCTTCCGCTTCCGCTCTCCGCTTCCTCCTGTGCTTCCCCCGCTTCCGCTTCCCCCGACTTCGCCCCTTGCTTGCGCTTTCCCCCCGCTCCGCTTCCCCGCTTGCTTGCGCTTTCCCCCTGCTCCGCTTCCCCCCTTGCTTGCGCCTTCCCCCCGCTTCCGCTTCCGCTCACCACCTCCCCCTCCCACGTGATAAGATCGCCACATGGCAAGTTCTCCACCTTCCCCTCCCACGACGCAAGATCGCCAAGTGGCAAGTTCGCGACCTTCCCCTCCCACGTGGCAAGATCGCCAAGTGGCAAGTTCACCACGCGGCAAGCTCGCCACCTCCCCCTCCCACGTGACAAGATCGCCACGTGGCAAGTTCATCCCCTCCGCCGATCTTCGCCCACCCCCATCGACCTTCGCTCCACCTGCCCACCTCTGCCCACCTCCGCCCACCTCGGCCCATCTGCGGTCCAAGTGCCCACCTCCTCTACGCCCGCTCACCTCCGCTACGGCCATCTTCGCTCGGGTTACCTCTGCGTATCCGCCTGGCTCCGCCCACCTCCGCGCACATCGGCCCACCTCCGCCCACCTCCGCCCACCTCCGCACATCTCCGCCGCCCTCTGCGCACCACCACTCGGCTCTCTTTCCCGCCCTTTCCCGTCGCTCTTCCCTCTGCTGCTTCCCCCGCTCCTCCGCTCCTTCCATCCGCTGCCTCCCCCGCTGATTGATTGATTGATTGATTGATTGAAATATGTCGAACGGGCCAGGACGAGAGCCGACCCGACCCGGTTTCTTTGTTTTTTGTTTGTGGTTTTTGTTTCAATCAATCAATCAATCAATCAATCAACTTTGATTGATTGATTGATTGATTGATTGGTTGAAAAAAAAAAAAAAAAGTTGGTGCGATCTCGAACGCGTTGGGACGGGACCCGACCCGACCCGACCCGACCCGACTTGATTGATTGATTGATTGAAGGGAGAGAGCGAGATCGAGAGAGAGAGAGACTCCCCGACTTGATTGATTGGTTGATTGATTGATTGGTTTCTGGGGGGGCACCTCCCGTGCGCGTGCACACACACACACAGTGTCACACACACACACACACACATACATACGCATGTGCAACAAAAGCGCTCTTTCTCTTGAAGGGGGGGGGGAGGGGGACCCCGGGACTGATCCGCTGCAGTATCCGTGCACACAAACACACACACACAATATGAAACAAAACCAGATGCAGACTTTTGATTGATTGATTGATTGATTGATTAATAGATTGATTGATTTTCATGCCTCCTCCCCCCTTCTCCCCCCCCTTTTTACCGATTGATTGATTGATTGATTGATTGAGAGAGAGAAAAAGAAAGGGAGAGGGAGAGAGAGAGAAAAAGAGAGAGGGAGAGAGA